AAAAAAAAAAAAGAAAATAGAGGTGTGTAACACTTTTGGAAAGAGAATAAAATTAAAATAGATCGACCCCTTTCTTCACTTCATCTCCCAGACCCACAAACTGAAAACTAGAGTTCTAGACTGAGAATACGGAAGCAAAAAAATTCAGTGAAAAGCTTCTCCCAATACTAGGGTTTCTGCGAAAGAACTCCATAGGCTTCTCAGATTTGAAAATTGCAGAAACCCACGGCCGACTCATCCCATTTCCGGCCTCCTCTGAACTCCGGCAACCATCTCGCCGCTGCCAAGACGGTCGATGATGCGTGCCTTTTCCTTTCTTTTCCTTCTCCCTTTTCTCTCTTTTCCCGTTTCTGCCGTCACTCTTTTTCTTCTTTCTTCATTTTTTACTTTATATATGCTTACTAGTATTGTCAATAGTGGTGACAGGGTGTAGCATCTTTTCTGTAATTTTCTTTCACTTTACACATTTTATTTACCTTCTTTAACATTTTTCTATTTTATTTATGTTACTACACTGTGTTAATTCAATATTTTCTCTTTGTAATGTTACTAGTATTCACATTTAAGTTTTAGATGCTTTTAGTAATTACAACTAAATTTAATTATTTTTTTTTTAGGATATTTAAGGCTATTTTTGGCACTTAAACTTAAATATATGATATTACTATCTATCTATATATTTTATTTAAGCTTTGATGACTTGTGTTGGCGAGGCCTAGCCATGGCGAATATTCTTGCCTCGTGGTGAGGCTATGGGCGAATTGCCTCGCCTCGCCTCGCCTCGCCATTCAAAACTATGGTTGGTTGGTGTGGGGAGTATTTTAGAATTTTCTTTAGCAATAAATCAACCACAAATTTTCACTCCACTCATCAGATTTTGAGGTTGTGATTCTATATGAAATGGAGATTTAAGAAGTACAGGTTTATTAAATATAAAATAGAGTATAATTGAACGAGTAGTAGATTTCCTTAAAAAAGTTCTTAGCAATTTCTTTTCATGGTTGGAAAATTTATCTGATTGAAAGAAAGTTGATATTTTTGTAGCAAGAATATCCTTAGTTATATGTGTTGCTTTCTTTCCAAATTTCTATTTGGTGAAATTTGATTCCAATCTACATGTGAGCAAGATAATGTATTTCACGAATTTTCTGATATTCGTTATTTTAATTTCTCTTTTGTTTTTGTGAATCTGGAGTACTTTTTTTTCCACGTGAATCTGGAGTACTTGACTGTAGGAGACTGGTGTAAGATTTTTTGAAAAAGAAAAGTTGGTCAATTTGATAGTTCAATGCCCAATTCAGGGCCAGGTATAACAACTAGCTTATAGATGGTGATACAGGTTTACTGTATCCAACATCGGGTTCGTAGAAATGAATGTATTTGCTTTCTTCTTTCTTAGGTTGGTCCTGGATGCTGACAATGTACCCATTGTTGTTCCTTTTGTGCATACCGGGATGCAAGAGGTCATGCCCGTTGGAGCCAAGTTTCCTAGGGTTGGCAAAACGGTATGCACTCAGTGCATCACGTTTGCATCATAATTATGCTTTCTTGTACACAATCATATTGCTAGAGAGACATCAAGTTGGTTTATTTTGCAAATGAGCAGGTAACTATACTTGTTGGTGACCCCATTGGTTTTGACGACTTAATCAATGAAGAGCCTCAGAAAAACATATCAAGAGGAAAACTCTACGACGCGGTCTCGGCTAGAATTGGCAATCGCCTCCAAAAGCTGAAGCTGCAAGTTGAAGTTTTAGCCCTTGAGCAAGCACAATTATTGCAAAAATACCCTCCATCACGTCTCACTGAGCGAGCAGCTCATCTTTTGCAAAGCGTTGACTGGGAGTCACTCGGGATGGGTAGCTACCTAAGCATGAATGAGAACTCGTCTAGCCAAGACACGTTGCGCGAACGGGAAGTTTCTCAACTCTATCCTCAAGGAAGCAGGTGCGTGGACCAATGCTCTAGAGTTGGCTTTTCTAGTCAAGGTGGGTTGGTATCAAGGGTAAAAGGCTATATGGACTCGACCGAACCAATGATTTTTTCGGCAAGAGGTTTATTCACGAATCATAGAACAAATGCGTATTTTTTTAGTCTGCATAGAGTTAGTCCTTTGAAGGTGTGGAATAAATTCTGGAAGTCGATGTCTGGAGGGGACCACTTCCCTCTTGACTCACTTCTGGCTGAGGCATGAATTGTTCAGTTTTTGGCCTCAGAGAATGTAGGGAAGTTTTGCTTATATCGTGTTCTTTGTTAGATATGCTATTTGCCATTATCAGCTTTTCCCCTTTTGGTTATCCAACATGATTGAAGGGTGTGAGAAATTATTAGAATTTGGGATTGAGGTGAGTAGAATGTTTGTTTTGGTCAATGTTATGTCCTACCTTTTCTTTCGTTTTTCCTGTCATGTGAAAACACATACATGTGGAAAGGAATGATTTTTCATGGACTGATTATGATAGATGAGTTTCAAATATGCTTGATTAAAAGCTTCTGTGGCCTTGAGAACGAGCGTTGGAGATGAAAGAGGTTTGTGGCAATTAGACGTGTTACTCGAGTTGAGCCTAATGACTCATGTTTGAGCTCGTGCTCGTGCTCATTTAATATATAAGCCGGCTTGGCTAATTTTGGCTCGTTTAAGTTCAATTTAGCTTTGTTTAATAAAATTAAAACTCTAAATGAACTGATTGCGAACATGTTGCGTACAAGCAATGATAATGCCTTTTAAGTTGTAACCACTTCTAATGGAATTACAATTTACAAAATAATATAATCTATTATCGCAAATTCCTCGGCGAGACAGTTTAACGATTAGACGTGTGGACCCTCCATATTTTATGGACAAAAATCACTTATACTAAGAAATGTCATTTCTAAATTTATTTTATTTTTTAAAGTATTTCACTTGTGTATAAAATATGAATCTTTATGAAAAAACATGTTTGCCTAACCTTTAGACATGCTTAATTGTAAACATACCGACCTATTAGAGCATCCGCAATGCTTTGAGTCTAATTTTGTTTATGTGGCATGTAAATAGGCTTAAGTCTTGAATGACATGGACAAACAAATATAGAAGTGACAAAATTGTCTTCAACGCAAAGAGACTAGGTCTCTACTTGGGTCTAAATTAGACTTAAGGGTAGACTAGGTCTCTTTTTTCTGTCGCCACGTCAACAAGACCCAGTCCACTTGCATTTACACTGGAACATATATTTTTCTAGACTATGTCTATTTCCTATGTAGCCTACATATTTTTTTTACGTGGCCTACATATTTTTTTTGAATGGACCTAAAGCATTGTTGATGCTCTTATATATACACCAAAAAATGCAGTAAGATGATGTTCAAACTGATTGGGAATATAAATACGGGATGCAATTGAAGGAGCTAGCACGCTCTGATTATTCTTGGTGTTATCGATCATAATATCGAATGAGAGGAGACATCAGCTGGACGATTTATCCATTTTGTACGTTTGTCTACTAAAAAAACAAAATCGTCTTTTATAAATAAAACTTCCATATTACAATACTTTTTTTTTTTTTCGGAACGATATCCAATCTCATTAATAAATAAAAGAGGTTCGATTACAAACCAATAACAATCCTAAGCCGAATAATGAGAGATCCACCCATAGGTGGTCTAGAAACACAAATGACTAGAAACTTAAGCAGATAATACAACAACCGATAACTTAAGTTTCAAACAAATTCCATAAGAATACACCTCTCCTTATCACGATCAAATTTAATTAAAGCTCCAAATTGAATATACAAATTGAATATATTGAGAATTAAGCATTATATTGTCATCAATGATTCTGAAAGTACATCTCCAGGTCGACATTTTGCTCTATATATATAAGTATTTGAAGTGTTTAAAAGTCATTTACATGAATCTAATTGGTCTTATTTGTATAGCCATTTTCGTATACTATAGCTACAATATTTTAGTATACATATGTCCACTCAAAGGTACTACTTACATAGCAGAAGGACATGCGTCCCACTAATTAAATGTGCTCGTTGATAGAACATTGCGGGAATTTTGTATAGTTTTTAAGAGATTAAGATTGACATTTTTGTGGTACGATCAACATAATTCTAGACCACGTCGTCATATCTCTGGTCCAGGTCGACGTATTTATGCATCACTCTTCGAGTTGGCATATTTCTAATGAACTCTTTTGGACCAATCTCTTCTGAGCAAGGTCTGACATGTCTCGTGACCGGTCCTTCTCGACCAGTTTGACATATTTGTAGCTCAACATTTTAAGCAACTTGGAAAATATGTTATTTGTAATTTTGTATGACAATTTTCATAGGAATTTGAGCTCTCTTTTCTCTCACTTTCCGTTCTTGGGTTAGTCGATCAGGCTGGTGGTATCTATAAGATTAGATAATCGGTGGTAGTATCTATAAGATTAGAGAATAGGGGTAAGAGAATGTGGTCTCACGCATATTAAGCGAACCATAAAAGGGTGAACCTAGGTGCTCCATAGTGAGGTTCCATCCCAAAACCAATTGGTGATGGGAGAGGAGCAACTCACTCTGTTTATATAGTAGGTTCACTTTCCCTATAAAATCAATGTGGGACAACTCACAAATGATATTGCAACACGCCCAGAGAAGGCAGAGTAGAGATAGAGACTAGCCAGAGTAGAGATAGAGACCCTGGCTGGAGAAGGCAGAGTAGAGATAGACCCTGATTGGCTGGAGAAGGCAGAGTAGAGATAGACCCTGATTGGAGTTGGCCGGGTAGAGATAGAAACCCAGGCAGGAGTCGGTCTGGCTCTGATACCATGTAAGATAAGAGAATTAGGGCACGAGGGTGCGGTCTCACGCATATTAAGATTAGAGAATCAGGGCACGAGGGTGCGGTCCCACGCATATTAAGCGCACCATAATAAAGTGAGCTTAGGTGCACCATAGTGAGGTTCCATCCCAAAACTAATTGGTGATGGGAGGAGTAGCCTACTAGACTTATAAACTAGACTCATTTTCCTATAAAATCAATGTGAGACAACTCACAAACGATACTCCAAAAGTATCAACAAAAAAAGTGCAAAGAGGAGAGTTTAGGCTTGTGGCCGGTGAGGTTGAGAAAATAGAGATTGGAGGTGTAAATAAAAAAATGAGTAAATGAAATGGGTCCATAGATGGCCTACAACCGAGCCCATTTCTAGTTTTTTTTTGTCTCTCCATCCCAAACTAACGGGTCGAATTAATGTTATTACGTTAGACATTACCTGTAATCATACATCATTTTTCACATTTGATACCCAAATAGAGAAAATTTCGCCTTCAATTTTTTTTTTTTTTTTTTTTCTTCACAAAACCCCATTCGGGATCTCGGAGAATGTCGGACGAAGACGAGACGCAGCTCACCGACCAGCAGAAAATCCAGATCGCCAAGTGGTTTCTCCTCAATTCTCCCGCCGGCGAAATCCAGTATGTCGCCAAAGGTATTTTTTTTCACGGCGCTGTTAATTGCACGCGTATATGTGTGTATATGCAGAGATGGGTGACCTTGGCGAGAGTGTTGATTGCATTGTTTTTTTTGCGAACTGTTGCGCAGATGTTCGGGCGCTTGTGAAGAGCGAGAGAGTGTACAGAGCGGCGGCGGCTGAGGCTTTTCCACTTTACAACAAATCGCATATGCTTTGCCTGGAATTTCCCGATAGAAGCGGTGAGGTAATGCGAATTGGTGTGGCAGATTAGCTATGGAAGTTTATTATATGATTGATTTGAATGCTTTATTATTATTATTATTATTTTGTTCTTTTTTGCCTGAGGAGCAATTTTCTTGTGCAAGTTCAGCAACTAGATGGAGAACATGGTTTGATGAATGAGGTTCTAGTTGAAGGTGGCGTAAAATGGATGTACATTAGTCTGAAAACTGGTTTCTGATTGCTTTAGCACACTTTTTGGGCGATTTATACACAATTAGCTCAATGTCACATGGCTGTTTGTCTGGTAAGCGGAACGAGTGGCCCGGCTTAGTGGGTGCGATATTTTGGGCCACAATAGGATTAAAAAGTGGATTTGGGTTAATATTTGGATATGCATGAACACGCATGAAGATTTTCAATATTACATGAAATCAGAGCGTAAATCTTGCAAAGGGTAAGAAAAAAAAAATAGGAAGGATTACGACTTCTAGAATATTAGGCAGTGTTCCCTATTATGAGGTCACAAGTCAATTATGCTCAATGGAGATTTGATTGATTGTGGTAGCTTCAAGATTAAACTGCTGTCAGTCATTGAAAAGGCCCATTAGTTTGCACAGAACTCTTGTTACATCACACAAAACCTCTTAACATTTGAGATGGTTGTTTTGACTGTGACCGAGTTGGAACACACGAACTGGTTTGTGAATGTACTGTTTTATAATATCTGTATAAATAGAATAATGAAAAGATTGTAGGTGGCTTAAAACAGGATTGTTGGTTAATAAGTATGATTATAAGCATAGGTAGTACCATTGTCCGCTGAAGATCCCCCGGAAATGACAACTTACCCTTTTACCAATATGAGTCTTTTATAGTACTTTGTCCTCAGTCACACGCACCTCCTGACATACTTCCTAAGCAGGATTGTTGGTTAATAAGTATGATTATAAGCATAGGTAGTACCATTGTTCGCTGAAGATTCCCCGGAAATGACAACTTACCCTTTTACCAATATGAGTCTTTTATAGTACTTTGTCCTCAGTCACACGCACCTCCTGACATACTTCCTAGGGTCATCTGTCCCCAGTTTATGCACTTTGTATAGAAGCATGTTCGAATAAAAATCCATTAGTCGACTGTAGACTTTTAAGATAGTTCTGTATTGAAATGTTCAGAATTTCTTGGAATATTATCAATATTTTCATGGAATGTTCAGAATTTCTTGGAATATTATCAATATTTTCATGTTAAAGTAGATTAATGTAATGAAATTTTATGCCTCAGTTTCCTGTCTTTAATGCTGGCAGGTTATCATTACATCATTTAGTGAGATTGATAAGAATGAATATCTTGATCCTAGGACTGCCCAGGTTGCAATCGTTGACCATGTGAAACAGGTAAAATCTGTTGTCATTTCCTTTGCATGTTGAGTGCATGTACTTGTGAATTATGGTGCACATTTTCGTTTACAATCTCTGAACGTGTTCCTTTACTATATTATCAACGAGATCTTTATGTGAAAGACTGTCTTTACTTTGAGTTTTTGTCCTAGGTTTTGCTTTTAGTTTAACCTAGCAAAACAGCAATGCTGTTTGAGAAGTACAGAAGTGTGTAACCAAAACCAAGCTGCCTGTACGTGGGTAGCATCAAAGAGTTTACTGGGGATCACTAGATAAACCATCAATTTCCAATTTAGGCAATGAATAAAAGACAAATTTATTGCTAATAGTGATAAAAGAAGGGAATTTATGTTAGCATTAGTGCCCGACATTCTTCAAACACCTCTAGAGAATTATTGTAGTGAATTTACCTTGTGCATGGAAGTTAAACTAGAAAAAGAAAAACAATAAATAAACTTTTGTCTTGGAAGGGGGGTGCATTGATATTTTGATTTGTGCCCTGCCATTTTTCATATTAGTGCACAAGGTGTAAGTTACTCAACAAGGTTAGGCTATGCATGATCTCATGGGAAAATAGACAAAAATATGTTCTTCAGATAATTTATATTCTTATATATTGCAACATGTTGTATTGATATAGGTATGTGAGGATGCTAGACCAGCAAATGATGAAGAGCTTCCATCCTCATTTATTGAGGAATATCGGTATGCTTGACCCTGCTAACTTGTTATGCTACTTCAAGAATCTGAAGGTTATGTTTGTATTTGGATAACTAAGTAGATTAGACTGACTTTTATAACAGCTATGGAAGTTTACTTTACTAATCTTCACTGCACGAGTAAATTCAAATCTGGAAAATAGTCAATATACTGCGTATGATTTAGGAGGCTGTAGTAAAAATGGTAGATCATATTACTTGAATAAGTTTCCCGTCTGTAGGTTTTCTCCCAAGCATGTATCGTGTCAATGTTGGTAGTAAGCTGCTTATGTTTTCTCATGCTGGTTATTTGTTTATGTATTTTTCCGGGCAGGTGTTCCTTGGATGCAGAGATTGTTAAATATGTCAGTGAAGTATATCCAAAAGGAGTTGGCTCGGTTTATTGTGTTAATGGAAAAGATGTTGAAGAACCAGGTTCTGATTTTGAGCTTGTTGTGGTCATTTCTGCTGCTAGACACAGCCCTCAGAACTTCTGGTACGTCCATTCAGTAGAATCTCAAGCACAAGTCCCACTTTTTTTAATCATCTTATGCTTTCAATACTGTGCAAAATTTTGCATCTTCTGGCTTAACTGCAATTGAACCATAATTATTTTACTTTCCCATCCCTTTTTTTCATAATATGATGCGTCTTCTTATTTTCTGTTAGACATTTTTTGTTAGTTGTCACAGGGATGATGTCACGTCCTTGATGTTGAAGTAGGGAGAAAATTTAAGTTGGCATCTAAATGTGTGGTTGCTTTACATGTCGATACAAATACATACAGATGAATGCATCTGGTTCTTTGAAAAGTTGTTCTCTGGTTCATGTTACCAGTTTTTGTGGAATTTATGTGGTTGATGTGATTGCTGACACTCCATCTCTTTTTTGTAGTAATGGGAGTTGGCGGTCAATATGGAACATAGAATTCAAGGGTGAGCTTCAAATCGTGGAAGTTAGAGGTAAACTTCAGGTAGTCCTCAGTGTGATGAAATTATAGAGTTTACTTTTAGTTTTCCTGTCATCAGCTGTACTTTTTGCCATAGTAATTATCTTCTTCTCCATATAGGTTGGGGCGCACTACTTTGAAGAGGGCAATGTCCAGTTAGATGCAAAGCATGAATGCAAAGATTCTACAATATTTCAGGTAATGCCTAGCATCAAGTCTGCACCAAGATTATGCACATCATTGTTGGTTGGATTACCTGATATTGTAATGCAGTAACTGTTATTGTTCATGCGAGGATGTCTTTCTGACGCACAATGTTGGCAGTCATAGTTGGGAACTTGGGACAATGGTCTCAAGATATATGATGGTTTCATTATTTTTTCTTTCGATCTGTTATATTGGTTTCATTATTTTTTTCGATCGTTTTATATTGGTTTCATTATTGATACATGGTGTGGTGGTATTTGTAGGCATGCTTCCACTAGTAAATCAATAGTATATTTTTTACCATCTTTTCTTTTTTCAATATTGCATTACCTGCTTTTCTGTAGCATGATCTCGACTTTGATCCAATGCGGAGGCAAACTGTTACTATAAGGCGTAATGTTTAGATCCCTCTTCAATATTTTTCATGAACATGAAAAGTTTGTCAACATTAATAGGTGCCTGTGAGAATATTTACTGACAGCTCCTCTGAATGGGGACAGTAGATTGTCATTTAATTATCATTTTGCTCCATATCTACTCCCCCTTACGGTTTCATGATATAACGGACTTCCAGAAAATTCATAAAATTATCCGCCGGACTAGCCCTGACCTCGGTCCAATAATTAGGTGGAAAACTTCCATGGTTTATGAGGACCTGCATGATACTAGAAAGAGACTCGTATTATGTGCTTTTGTTTTGCAGAATATAACAGTCTTGTCTCAATTTCTCTTCAGTCACCCGATGATTGTGCAATTTCCTTGACGACCATTATTCGCCATCATGAAACGGAATATTTAAATGCTCTTCAGGTATCAACCCCTCCAGACTATGTTCCTTTTTGTTCAGAGTTTCTGGTTACTGAATTTCATTGTTTTGGCAGATGTCCTATTTGAGTTTACCAGACACTACTTTCAAGGTACCCTACGTTTGCCTCCTGAATGTTGGCCATATAATCTGTTTATTTTGTCGAAACAAATGTTTAATTTGTCATAAGATATCATCATGCTGTATGCTTCTGTATAGTTTCTGTTTTGCAGATGTGATCTTCTCATTGTCTTTTCCATCAGATCGTTTTTATTTTAGTGCCATCTCTAGTAAAAACTGAGCATTTTGTGTTCTGCAAACTTAGGACCTCCGCAGGAAGCTTCCCGTTACACGTACGTTATTCCCATGGCACAATACGCTGCAGTTCAGCCTGACCCGAGATATCCAGAAGAACTTGGGACTTGAAAGCAGTAAATAATTTCGATCTTCCTGGATGAATGTTTTTTGCTGTAATGTTTCTTGTACTACGTTTGCGGTAGTACTAGGATGTACAACTTGTTTATGCCGTGAAAAGTGGGGATTGTGCGCTGTTTGATATACTGAAAAGTGAAAAGTGAATAACTCGCTTGTGTTGACAGTACATGTTATCTTTTCATTTTCATCATCATTTATTTATTTATTTATTTATTCTATATTTATGCTACACTAAAAGGACTATTGAATTTGTAATAAATAAAAACTGCCTAAATAACTCTTATTTTAACATATTTTTTAATGATAAATTAGCAATATACATATCCATCATATCTTATACTATTAATTCATATGCTATATTATTAATTTATAACTAATATTTAATTGATTAAATACAAATACACTATCAAAAAAAAAAACAAATATCTCTTAAAAGTCAATTAAACATTCTCGCATCATTAGTCCTCTCGAGTTTGCTGTCTTCCGCATTTTCTAAATTGCTTTCTTTCTATATCTCGAAAAAAAATCAACTCAATATCAATCCAACTAGTGTGTATCCCGTGCAATGCACGACTGACTTGTTTTTTAAAATATTGTTTAAAACTTTATTTTAAGAATATGTTAGCTTGATAACAGTTTATATTAATTAATACTATTTTAACATCTATATTTATTCTTTGATATAGATAAAATAATATTTTTACTTATTTTTTTCATTATAAAACTTCACTATTATTTTCTTAAAAAACTTATTGTCGTATAAAATTATTATTATTAATATTATTATTATTATTATTATTATTATTATTATTATTAAAATTTATAAAAGTTTAAATCTATATATATAATGATAAATACTATAATTTAAAAATATTTAAACAATTTCAAAATAAATATTGTGTACATATATGCATTCTATTCATTTTTAAAATTTGTTTTATTTCATAATAATATTTATTGAGTTATTATTATTAACTTATTTATAGATATATTTTTGTAAAGCATGATATGTAATCATAGAGGTTTTAGTTAAAAAGTATATATTATATTGTTAAATCTATCGTGCACAAAATAAAAATGTGAAGGATTGACATATTATTTTATTATAATTACTTATACATAGATTAATTTTTTTTTAGGAATTTGTGAAAACTTAATTAACTGACGAAATATTTGATTTCAAAAAATATAAATATTATAATCATATAATTTATTTGCTATGTTTATGGTTTATAATTATACTGTAACTTCAGATTCTATCTTTTTTATTTATTAAAGTGATTCTAAATTTTGGAAACATTGATGAATATTTTAATTTGTATATAATAAATGTTAAAATGAAATAGTAAAAAATTTTCCAACATCTTTGAAAAATGAAATTTAAAACTCAAAAAAAGAAAAGAAAAGAAAAGAAAAAAGACGTAATATTAGAAAAAAGAAAAAAAGAATATAGGAAAGAAAAAAATTATCATGCTTAATAGGAAGATTTTATAATATAATACTCAGACATTTTATTTTACTTTTTTCTTTGTTTATAGTTCTAAATATCTAATTAAGGATATTAAAATCAAATCAAAACAATACCCCAAAAAAAAGAAACAATTTTTTTTTTTTTTAAAAAAAAAAACAGGGATAAAATTGAGATAAATGTGGACATCAAGATAAGATAGAATGTATATCTATTAGAAAAAATAATTGATATTCGTTTCAAAAATTCTAAATAATTCAAAAATATCATGGGCGGGAGAAACATAAAAATTTCAAAAAAAATTCGTTAGTAGTAAAAATAAAAAATATGAGCAGGAATCTTCATTTTTTTTTTAGGTTTTTCCTTATTCCTATTATATAGTAATAGATATAAAAATACATATAATAATAAATTTAATTTTATATTCTTAAGGATGTGAGTATATAATATACAAATATTTATATATGCTTAAATATCTTATGCTAAAAGAGTATAAGTTTATTTTATGTTTACAATTAAAATGGTAATTATTTAATTATATATAAATAAATTACGTAAATAAGAATATGAAATGTAGCAACATGGATGGTCATATACAAAACACATGCAAATAATAGTATAAGAAAATATTATTAAATCAATTAGATTATAGAATATATAATAGTATCTAAATGATCTATTTACATATTTAAGATAAGGAAAGAATCCCACAAAATCTGAACAAACAAATTCCATTCAAAAAAATTACATGGAGAAATAATTCAAACAAATTGCATGGGCAGGAAAAAACAAAAATTTGAAGCGGGAAAATGAAACAATTATTTTCGAGTTTTTCAAACATTTTTCCTTAGCTCTTTTATATAGTAATAGATTAACAAAGTTTTGAAAGAATATAGAATTGTTGTTTTAGAAAGCGATTTTATTTTTAATATAATTTTAATGGTAAAATCATAATCACGTTAAATAATTCTAATATATAAAAGTTATTTAAAGAAAATTGATCTAATAAAAACAATGTAACAATTACTTATAAAGAATTCAAATGTTTTCAACTATATATTTACCTATCTACAATTTTAACAAAACGTTAAATCTTTATAAAAAAAAATGACAACTTAGTTGAGAGGTAATTTACATATAATAAATAATTTCAAAGATATATACTTAACTTTAAATAAAAAAAAAATAACTAGAATTTTACTAAAATCATGTCCACAATGAATACATACATAATCTAATAAACTTGAAAAGTGGGACAATTCATTTAGTTACTTCATTAGTTAAGAAAAACAAATTCGTATTTAGAATTAGAACTGATATTGGATCTTAATTTTATTGGATTGAATTTTGATCCATATAAAACATAATGAATCTTCACTTTACCATTAAGGTTATGTTTGGTAAAAGTAGCTGATAAGCTAGCTAATGGTTGATAAGCTTTATCAGTAATTTTTGAACTTTTTGAGCTTATAGCTTATGACTCGTAGCTGAAAAACCAACTTATATGATAAAAGTGTTTGTAAAATTAGCTGATAAGCTAGCTGTAATAAAAAATCAACTAGCTTATTTGAAAAGCTACCTAAATAAACTTATCAAATAAGCTCGAGCTTCTAAAAAAACTCGTCCTACCGAACAAAACTTATTTTAACACAGAGAGCTTATAAACTAATCAAATAAGTTATAAGCTAACTTATTTATCTACCAATAGCATATCAAGATGAGTATAAAATTTTAGTTGCATTGAATACTAGTTGGTGTACAAGTATTTTTTTTTTTTCATACAAAAGAGGCCAAAGGCCTAAATGGTGATTATGCTAGAACGCGTCGGAGATAAAATACCTCGATAACAACATGATCAAGCTATGCATCCAGGCCTATGGGAGGCCAAGGAACACGCTGCAGTCCCAAAGGGGAGGAGGACGTCAAGATTGTCATACAATCAGCCGCAAAGTTGACTTCTCTATTAACGTGTTGGATTCGAGCTGTACAAGTGTCTCAACGTATATTAAATTAAACAACATTATTTTAAAAATGTGGGGCAAGACCCAAACCATGGATGTGGTTTCTTATCCCAAAAATCTGCTGCTGCTCTTTACCCCTTCCGTCAGCTCTACATTCCATCTTCACAACAAACCCAGCTCGAAAAGTAACCGCTTCCCACTCTCCGATGAACATCCTTCCCTCCATCTCGCGCCTCAAACTCTCTCCTACTGCACCGCCGCTGCCACTCGCCGGACTCGCCGCCTCTTTCCCCTCCCGACTGCCGGCCCACCTCCCTCTAGCCCTCAGACCCACCACCAATTCTCCCTCCCTCGCCGCCGCCACGCGTGATCCGGTAACGGCTGCTTCCCCGCCTACCGCGTCGAACCAAGACGACGAATTCGACAACTACGACGAGGACGAGACCTACGGCGAGGTGAGCCGGATCATCGGCAGCCGAACCGCGGGCGGGAACCGAATGGAATACCTAATCAAGTGGAAAGACGACCACGCCCCCACGTGGGTCCCCTCCAATTTCATCGCCGCAGACGTCGTCTCCGAGTACGAGACCCCCTGGTGGACCGCCGCCAAGAAGGCCGACGCCGCCGCCCTCGGTGACCTCCTCTCCTCCTCATCCGGCCGCGACGCTGACGCCGTCGACCGCGACGGCCGCACGGCCCTCCTCTTCGTCTCCGGCCTCGGATCCGAGCCGTGCGTCCGGCTGCTGGCGGAGGCCGGGGCCGACGTCAACCACCGCGACCCCTCCGGCCTCACCGCCCTGCACATGGCGGCGGGCTACGTCCGGCCCACAGTCGCCGAGATCCTGATCCAGTACGGTGCCGACCCAGAGGCTGCAGACAACCGAGGCCGGGCTCCTCTAGATCTGGCGCGGGAGATCCTGGCGGCCACCCCCAAGCTGCAGTTCGGGCGGCGGATGGGGCTGGAAGCGGTGGTTCAGGTGCTGGAATCGGCCGTGTATGAGTTTGCAGAGGTTGACGAGGTATTGGAGAAGAGAGGGAAAGGGGAGAATAACATGGAGTATCTGGTGAGGTGGAGGGATGGCGGGGCAAACGAGTGGGTGAAGGCAAAGCACGTGGCGGAGGATTTGGTGAGGGATTTCGAGGCCGGGGTGGAGTACGCGGTGGCCGAGCGTGTGGTGGATCGGAGGGAAGTCGGAGGAGAAGAAGGGGAAAGGAGAAGGGAGTATTTGGTGAAGTGGACGGATATCGAGGAGGAGACTTGGGAACCCGAGGAGAATGTCGATTCTGAGTTGATCAATGAGTTTGAAGGGAATGTGGGGAAAAATGAGGTTCGAAACACGTTTCGTTGATTGTTGTTGATTTTATGGTTTGCATTGGTAGTTCGATTCTTTCCATTGAAAGTGTTCAAGCTCTACCGTTTATTTTCTTTGGTGCTGTCTAGATTGAGTTTTGTGGTGAGTTTTTGATTTACATTGGTGATGTATGGATACAAATGTGGCATGAAATGACTTCATTTAAGTTGATACTAATATCGGAAATTATTGTGATGAGAATTGTGTCATCTGTGTTTTTTCTGTGAATTAAGGGTGTCGCTGTCTAGGTTAAGTTAAACTTGAAATGAGTGAAAAAAACTCTGTTGGGATAGGTTCTTGTGGATATCAGTTTTGCATTCTTGTTACTCTTAACCTAATGAAATTTCAAGAATGGAACTCGTGGCTGCTTTGCTTAATGGGCGTGGATCGGGATATTTGTGCTCGTTTTTCTATAATTTGTGTGTTCCCTGTTCTTTTGCCTCACCCGCATTGTTCTAGTTAAGGCAATTGATGGATGGTAATTCCTGTTGAGTTAGCTTGGTTTGCTGGATTTTGTACTTAGTTAATGTCGGTCGTGACTTCATATTCGTAACACTTTATTAATTTACTAATTTTCTTTGCACCTGCAGGTTGATAAGGCATCCTCGTGAGTCGTGACACTACTTCTCGGAATTTTCCACGCGAACAGAGTGGCTGATAGCTTGTAGTTTCTTGTATCAAAAAATTGATTTTTGGAGTCCATTGATTCTTTTGTGGTAATGGTTCAAACTGAAAGATGGGATCACATGCAAACATGAAAAAGTACTGTAGCTATATTCTCATTGTTATTAGTTTTTCTTTTCTTCTTTTGAGCTTGGAACACTCATCATAACCGATACTAAAAAATGCGCAGTCGTCACAATTCCTGAAGCAGCTGTGAAAAACCTGTGTCAGCTAGTTATTCACGCACGTATAATTTGCAATGGTTCGTGAAACATTAGTAGTAATCTACGACTTCAATACAACAGTAAGGCACGAGGAAGTTCTGAAATATGAGTAGCGTATCGAATGCCGACGGTTATTAACTTGGTGTTGTTTGTTTGTTTGGAGTTAGGATGCATTCTACTTCTATTAATTGGGGAGACTTCTGCTAGACAGATTTAATCGTTATGTTGACATGTTTTTGCAGTATATAAGCATACTTTTTTGTGATAAGATGCTATACTTTGAAATGCAACAAAAAAATAAAGTAATACATCTCAAGTTAAATATGCATTGCTCTATTTCTCATAATAAACAGCAAAATAACTGCTGCGCAACTTACGTTTAATTCGTAACAGAATGTTTAAGCCTAAAAATGTATTACATTACTCATGATTTTGGTTCCAAAAAAAAAAAAAAAATTGGTTATCTCAAAGTCTTGGTCATCTCAAACTCTTATCTATATTCCACTGTAGATTATATAGTTTATTTCACTATAGTGAACCAAAAAAAAAAAAAAAAAATGAATTATGCTCTAAATTTTAATACACACGAAATATTACCATTTTATTATAATTATTTAAAATTATTTTTAATGTCAAAACATAATTTAACAATACCTTATAATATTTTCACAATCTTTGTGTGTTGCTACTTTTAAAATATTATTGGGCAAAAATCCTATTATTTTATATATTTTAATTTATTTATAGTAATTAAATATATATGTTTCATCCAAAATAATATTTTGGTACAATTATTTAATAATCAAATTATAAATCATTTGTACACACTTAGTCAAAATAATACATATCAAGATAACATAAAATACAAACATTATAAAACGAAATAATAAATTGGTGCAATTGAGTACAATTAATTATAAATTTATTAGTACACAATTTATAAAAATAAAAATATAATAATTCCCCCTGACGTCCCCTCGGGTCCCTTCGGACTTCTCCCCAAACTTCCCCGTTTCTTTTTCTTTTTGGAATTTCCCCCTTACTCTTTCCAGGGAGATGAGGGATCTGTGAATGGAGGCAGGTGACATTCAATCTCGAATCATCCTCGAATCAATTGTTTGTGAAGTTTTTCAGTAGCCCTAACTTTCGTTTGTATCTTCCAAATCTTTGATGATATACATTTTTCCCACAAATTCTGTAAGTATAATTATTATTTTTATTCTTTAATTTTATATATATTAAGATAGATAGTGTAATGATATATATTCAATTCTTTTTCATTTGTAGAAAATAACACTAGTTATATATTAGATGGGGCATATGCATAACAAATGATAAATTCAATCTAATGAAAATATATGTATAATTTTTCTCGAAAGTTTATACAATACTTTAAATAATTTATCAACATACTAATAAAAGATTACTAATAAATTCAAACAATCTTTCTAAAACATTTTTTAAATTTAAATTAATAAAAATTTAATATTGGCTATTGAACAAAAATGTATTTCAATATTTTCGAGGTATACTAATCATCACTCCATAATAAACTATTATATAATTTTTATAATTGAATATGAAAAATATTGTGTTTAATTTGTAAGGTTGTTAAATATGTGAATGATATTAAAAAATTATAAAAGTAAATATGAAAGAGAATATTTTTTCGTATGTGAATGAGAAGAATTGCAATTTAACGTGGTCTGAATTTTTTTTTTTTTTTTTTTTTTTTTTTTTTTTTTTTTTTTTTATATGAAAATAGTTTTTTTGAATTGAAGATTAACGAAAGTTTTTGGTTGGAGACAGGTGATGCGCGGAGATGTAGCGCAACAACGTTTGTAGCTTCAATGAGAAGCAACGTTTGAGAAGGCAAAAAAAGAAAAAAGAAAAAAGATTGGCCACGTTGGACACTTGCCACATGGTCACTATACACGATAATTTTGTAATCAACAACATATGCACAAAATTTTTCCAATCCAAAGACAATGGCTAAAAACTCTTTTTCGGTAGTAGTATAATTAATTTGAGCTATGCGGCGATCGAAGATGGGGTTCCCAGCGGGGGGTTTCGACCTCAACAGGGACCTCGTAAAATATCGAATGCCCCTCAGGCCTTACAACGATGCCACACCACACGGCCCAACATTCACGCGCGACCTAGTACATTAGCGCACCTTGTGGCCCAGCAACCGTTCTGCACAACCGCCTTTTTTCCTTCAGTCATGTGTCCTTCCGGCGGCCGCCAATAAACTCTACATCGTCCACATGGATACCAACTTCATGCCCAACACCTACAACACCCAAAGCGATTGGTATGCCGACCACTTACAAACCCTTACTTAAGTAATTTTTAGTTCACTAAATGCCCTAGAAAGCAAAGGGAAGCCGAGCTTAGCCGCAAGCAAAGAATCAACCACAAGCAGTGCCTAGCAAAGAGCCGAGTTTCACCGCTTCAATCTCGGTGTCTGTGGCCTCGTCAGCACGACCCATTGGAAGCCTCTCACGCCCCTCCATGTCGCCCTGAAGGGTCTCGTCGACCAAATCCGGGTCGATTACTAATTGTTTTTAAAGAATTTTTTTCATGAGATACAAAAGAAAAAAGATAATATTGATGACCATGTGGTGGACTTTGGCAAGTTGCAGGTCGAGCGAGACCTTACCTATGAGGAGGTACCGGTGGCCATTTGGACGAAGGTCCATGCCGTCGCCGCCGTTTCTCACGTGTCTTTATCGTGGAAAACTTCCCATCAAATTTATTAAACTGGCAGAGCGGCGCCGACCTGACGAATTGGGGCACTGTACGACAAGACCGTGAACAATGCCGGGGGAGGTGAGGTCATGTGGTTGTGGTGAATTTGGACGTGAATCTGAGGACGAAGAATGGAAATTGGAGTCGCTTGAAGAATCTCTTCGACTGAAAGAGAAGGATAAGGGGTGAAGTTGGGATGAAAAGGTGACCGTTATGCTATATGTATTAGCTTATTTGTGGATTTATCCTGCAATATGTTCCTTCTTATTAATTTATTTTGTATATATAATATAGATGTCAAATTAAAGTTCATCAAGACATGGCCGGAAGGGGGCATTCGTCAAAGTCTGGTGGAAAAAGTCAAGTCGAGGGCGAGACGACTTGGAAGAGGAAAACCGAGAAGTTCGTTCTACCAAACGAGACTTACTTGAATACATTGAGCTTATAAACTAACCAAATAAGTTATAAGCTAGCTTATTTATTTACCAAACATATAGAATTAAAATGGTAAGGTCGATGATGAGTTATTCAAGGTTACAGATACATTTTGGGGAATGGCGCTGGAAACAACACCGTATGTTCTGAAATTGGTTTCATCGAAATCAGCACCAGTGGCACTATGAGTATTTGGTGATGCCGTTTGGGTTGTGCAACGACCCATCTACTTTTCAGTTTGCCATGAATTTTATTTTCAATTATCATCTACGTAAGTTCGAACGTCTGGGGCAGTTCACAAGTGGACCAGATGAGGCGTGGTGGAATCCAATCATTGGAGTATGAGGATTGGAATTTAGTGCTTCAAATATTCGGTTGGTTTGATGTATATCAGACATTGGATTTGTAGTCTTGCGGCTTTTCAGCCTCAACCCCAACTTTACTCAAGCCAAGGTCTATATATGGAAAGTTCAAAAATGATCATATAATACATCATATAATCTCAAATAATAAGAAAACATAAAGAAATCAAATAAATAATAAGAAAGCATAGATTATCTATATTTATATCTATATCTATATCTATATCTATACTACTATAAAAGGACGAGTGTTTTTGTAAAAATATGAGTTGCCTAAAACACCCTTACTTTGACATATTTTTAATGGCAAATTAGTAATACACTAATATCCATCTCATGTTATAATTTTAATTAATAAATAATATTTACAAAAAAATCCTTTATTTGATATATTTTTTTATGTCAAGTTAGTAATATATTAAAACTCATTTAATATTTAATTAATTAAATACAATTACGCAAATAAAACATTCCACGACTCTTAAAAATCAACCACAATATCTCACACCATTATTATTCAAGAATTTACTTTCTTCCACATATCTCCCAAACTTTTTTTTTTTTATTTTTTTTCATACCTCAAAAAAATCAACTCAACATTAACTCAAACAACAAAGCTTTGAAATGTTACATAATTGTTGTTTTGAAAAAAATCCTTATTTTTTAAATACTTCTAAATAAGATCATAATCATATTTAATGGTTTTAATCTATAAGAGTTCTCTAAAGAGAAACTGGTGCAACATGTACAAAATAATGAATACTTATAAAGAATTCAATTATTTTCAACTATTTATTTACCTATCCTTTAACAATATGATAAATCTTGGTAAAACATGACAATTTAGTTGAGGGGTAACTTGTTTATAATAAATAATTATAAAGATACATACTTAATTTTAATTAAGAGAAGATACCTAAAATTTTATTGAAATCATGCACACGTGAAACATATACACATTCTAACAATCTAGAAAAATAGAAGAATTCACTGACTACTTCGTTATTTAAGAAAAATAAACTGTTGTATTTAGAACTAGAATTGGAAATTTCACCTTAATTTTATTGGATTGAAATTCGATCCAACAAAAATCGTCATTTATTTGTTTGTTAGTTTGTATTTTCAAAATTTTGATCACAAAGACAATAAAGTTAACGAATCTTCACCTGACCATTA